GGGGGGGGGGGGGGAAGAGGGGGATTGAGGCCCCTGTAAGGAGGGAGCTGGGCAGGGCTGGAGCTGCTGTCCAGCCAGGGGGGTCTCGGGGCCTGGGGCCACAGTGTAGAGCTGCAGGGCCCCACCGGGGAGTAGAACGGAGCCTCTGTTGGCTTGTCAGGGGAGGGCTGGCTCCCCATTGCTGTGGACACTTCCAAGGGGAAGGGGCAGATGCATGGGAACAGTGGGCCCTGGACCCGATCCTGGGCCCAGCTCTACTCCCTACCTGGTCCCAGCGCCCCACACCCCACAGTCCAAACCACCTGCCTCCTGTGGTGCAGGGCTGCGCCCCTCAAAGAGTGGCAGCCACAGGAGGTGCATTCCCAGGGCAGTACAGGATGAGCAGCCACCATTCCCTACCATCCTGCTTCCCTGCCCCAGGTGCCTCTGCAACCTGGTGCAGCTGGGATCAGCAGGGGTGTGTGGAGAGGCTATGAGCTCCCTGCTGCGCCTGGGTCATGCCCACAGAGCTGTGGAGATCCCTGATTCCCTGCCCTGGGTAACTGCAGTGCCGTGCAGAGAAGGTGCTCACTCCACGCTGCCTTGGCGATGTACCTGCTACACGTGCTGCTGCTTGCAGCACGGGGCAAGTACCTTCTCTGCACAGCCCTACTGTTCCCTGCTCTGGGTGCCTCCACAGCCCAGCAGGAATGACTCGGTGCAGCAGGCAGCTCATAGCCTCTCTGTGCGGCCCTGCTGTTCCTAGCTGCACCAGGTCATGCCCAACAGGCTGGAGAGGCACCTGGGAAGGGAAGCAGGGTGGAGCCAGGAGCAGCTGGCGTTCCCTGCTATCCTGCTTCCTTCCCCTGGGTGCCTCTTCAGCCAGCCCCATGCTGCCCTGGCAACGCACCCCCTGTGCTTTTCGTTGATTGCAGCACAGAGTTTGCAGCCCCTCCATACAGTAGTTATTGTATTGCGTGATTATTGTTTGAATTTGTCATGGTTGGCGGGGGAGGCAGTAGACTGAGGCCCTATTAATTGCATGTAATAATGGATTCACTTTATGCACGGTTTTTTTGGAACAGAACTCTTGCATAAAGAGAGACCCGAGTGTAACTGAACTGGAATTTAATGTGAAAAAACAACATGCATAACCCTGACTGGAAATGATCTAACATAGGTGATCATATATTGTTAACTGTAGGAGACCGTGACAAGCCACCTTTCACAGTAGCAGAACAGTAACCAATAATGGAAAACACTAAATTTAATTCTTACCCTTTTGACTGGCCATTAGCACGATTTTCAAAAAATTTTATCTCCAAAATATCATTAACTCCCAGAGAATGAACTGCTTCAGTTAAGTCTTCATCTGTTGTCCACTGCAAGATATATATATTTTTTAAATATTCAACTATCAAAATGCATCCAATACACACCAATCTCCTCTATGAGAGCAGCCTAATTTTGTTAATGCTATTATTAATTCTTCATTGTGAAAATGATTACATAATAACTTAACTCACTATCAAGTTTCCACAACTACCTGTTGAAAAGGACTACAAACATTAAGTGACATTTTAAAATTCATTTCTCAGAAAAGAGTGTTATAATAAATGCAATAATTTTTCAAAATAATCATTTTACTATGCAAGCAGTTTCTATTAGCCAAAAATTCCACAAGGAGTTTCTAGAGACCAGACAAATGTGGTACTTCACTTTTACAACGGATGGAACATTTGCATTTCTTATAAAATGTTATTGCCAAAAAGGGCAGTGAAGGGAGGGGAGAAAGGAAACAAAGGGGCTATAGCTAACTTCAGTAGCCTGCACATACAACAAATCCACCAATTAAATCATTTTGTTTGGCTTGTGTATTGAATATAATCCATCACTGTTGTATAGTTGGGTGTACAACAGGAGTTAGGGTAAAAGAAAAACCTTTATTTTAACTCTAAAATCCCCTATATTTCCACCCTGGAAGGAAAGTGCTGGGTTGTAAAGTTTCATATTTTCCATGTAGGACACAGATCCACAAGTTACAGTTTCCAACACTGAGTATGAAGCATATACCCTTCAGTCTAACAACAAGCAAATTAAATTGATGAACCTCAATGATCTAAAAATATATACCTAGTCATAGTGAATCAGAAGATAAACACAATATTTTTAGAAATAGTTTAGTTTAAGGTAAAGTCAGTACTAACATTTAAGTCTCTGTAGTTACAGACAGGGTTTTACAACATCGGCCTACCTCTGCTCTTATTGAAGTGAAATGAAGTCAAGCCAACAGGTTATAAAATGTTTACCTATACAATTATATTTTCAAATGAGTTTGACAAATGAATTCTGTCCTTTACTTACCTGTCAGGTCCTGAAATGAGGATATTACAACAGTTAATGACAACAAACTCCTACAACAAAGTATGGAGCATTTTCCTGTATATGTAGCACTAGCAAAGACTTTAGGAACTCAGTATTTTGCATACAGAGATGGGCAAATCTGTCAGATTAACTGTAAAGTCTAATTAGTCCAGCTAGTGACCCAGCATCTTCAGCATTATCAAACAACATACACTGCATTAAGACCAGCTCAGGGTAAACAAGACACTGCCTCTGAGGACACAAGTGTGGCTCAATGTTCCCAGATCCGCAGCACTTTAAAATACTGCAGAAGCAAATCTGAAGGCAGATGCTTGAAGCAGTTTCACTGGGAAGGTCACTGTGGTTTGAGGATGAGGAAGATTTCTCTACACATTACTCTACAGCAGTTCCCTTTTAAGTGAAAGCTTTAAACAGGATTACTGAAAGTAATAAATCCGCAGGCATAAGGTATAGCTGAGTGTTAGTTTGTTTTATTTTTTTCATCCATTCATCTCTTCTTTCAGGGATTTCCCTAAAATCCTAAAAGTGTTGCAGAAGTAACTTTCCTTCATAGTATGTTTTTCTTGCAAACCCCTTCCACTTGTACAGCTTTGAGCTACGCCTTAACATCTTTCCCCCAATCTTTTAACAATAATTATAGAAAAACCCTGTCTCCCCATACTTCTAAGATATCAGTGCCCTTTTAATTTAATTTTGAAGTACAAGTCAAACAAAACTGGAGTTATTTTCACAAAATTCTGTCTAATACAAGGCACAGAACTGACCAGTTTATGATTACTGCCTATAATAAAGCAGTAAACCAACAAGCAGTGGTATTCCAACACTTACCCAGGTAAGATTCCCAATGTATAATGCAATTCTCTTTCCAGTATAGGTATAGACCACATTTGGTGCTGCTCCTTTACCTACATCATCTCCCACAGATGGTGGGAGAGAGTCCATATAATCACGGTCCTCTGGGGCATCTCCATTATTTGCAGATGGAGAAATGACATCATCATACAAATCAATCTGATCATGTCCACCATATTCAGCTTCCTAAAACACAGATTACATATAAACCAGATAAACAAATCTTAGTCAAAACAAAGCCAAAATAAGGATTACCTATGGCAATTGAAACAAGAGTAAGCCCTAAAGTGCAACAAATGAGGCTTGTGAGGGAGTTTAAACATCACTTTTATGTACACTTTGAATGTAAATTAATCTTCTGGCTGCACCTTAATTTAAAAAAGAGAAAGAGACACACACAAATGCCAAACTGGCAGAAAGTTAACAGAGAGCCTATAACCACTGCTTATTTGTCCTACTAACACAGACAGCCAAACAAGAGAATGCACAGCATCCCCGAATTATGTTGACAGTGAAACAAATCATGGGCATATTAATGTCAACTCTCAAAGAAACAAAGACAACAGAAAATACTTTTCATTATTAAAACATACAGTTGAGAAAGCTGTTTGAACTCTCAGGAGTCCTACTGATGAACAAGTTGCCACATATATTTTAACAACTGTGTTCTAACATTGACCCTTTGTTGACAGATAAGGGGAGTTAGGAAGGAAGCACTTCAAACTGTAACAGCCTCGCTTTAGTACAGGAGGAGTACTCACTTGTTCCAGATGGAGCATTAGCTGGTGTAACAGTATCACCACAATGCAGAGTTTGAAAGGGAAGCAATTGTTAAAAAAGGGCAAAGCCAATCAATTTTAACTATATTACCAGACCATACACTTATTAAATGTAGACAGCTTACTATTTAATGTGCAACACATTCTTCCCTGCAAGCAGTTGGGATCCCCAAGAACTGTAAGCAGCACAAAGGTACAATGCAAAGTCTCCGACCTGAAGACACCTCTTGATGCAGAACTTCACCACTTTTATATCTCCACTTAAAGCTGCATGGGCAGCGTAACAAATGAAGATAACATTGTACTGACTGTACTGGTTATATTTCACTTTTTTTTTAAGCTACAAGACCATTGCGTTAAGAGTACAGGGTAGCAACGTACAGTCCTTGAGCTGAATCTGGCCTGCAGCAGTATGGGGGATTGGCAACACGCTGTTTGGCCCTCCCACCTTCCCCATCCCATGGTGCTTCTACCCCACCCTCAGCGGTTGCCTTAGAGCCTTGTCACAAGTTTCCTTAGGATTCTTCCTAAGCATGTAATCTCCCTGAAAACTCTTTTTCTACAACATTTTCACCACTTCAGGCTAACAGACCACAACACAGGTGAAACTGATTTCATGCCTCATTAGAAAGGAATGGTTTCCAGCTGCTTGTGACAATATTATTTTTAAATGCTGCAACTGACTCCAGGTTGTAATACTGATACTGTCACAGGGACCTGCACAAGTAAAAATCACTTAAATCGTGAATGCGCACAGCTGCAGTGCAAGGAGCACAGCCCAGCAGCTTGGAGAACTGCGTGTAGCTGGTAAATTTGTTGTGGTACGAGGGGGGGGGAAATCTTTTAGCAGAAATACTGGATATATAAAGGATTGTGTGAAAACAAACATGAAAATTCAACAAGCCTTTTAAAATGTAACCTTTAACTCATGTCTTTTAAAAGCATGATTCCTATCAGTTTTTCAGCACTTTAGGTATGAAAGTAAGAAGAAGCAGAATGACCCAAGTGACTTAAGTGCATTAAAAAAATAAATAACCCATCCATATTCTCATCATCGTGGATTTAAATTTTATAGTTTATAATAAGTTAGTTTA